ATGGCCCCAGCTCCTCTCAGCCTTCTGTCTCAGTTGCAGCTGATCCCGCTCTGGTTGTGGTTGTCCCATCGTCCCTTCCCATGTAGACCATGAGAATGGTGGGGGTGCGGTGGGTGAGCCAGACCACCCGGGCCAGCAGTTTCAGCGACCAACTCGTCGGCGCAGAGCTCCAGACCGGTATGGAGTGTGGATCACTTAACTTGGTTTACCTACCATGGACAGTTCCAAGTAGGACTGAAGATTCGGTTCAAGTTTAAATCGTCTCAGCCTCCTATACTGTTAGCTACAATGGTTTAAAAGAGTTATATTTTTTTCATTGTTCCAGTGTTTACATTTAAAAAAAAGTATCTGAAGGACCTACGGGGTTATCTACATGCACTTATCCATTTGTATTTGTGCCTTCCTAGATGCTAGGATAAGTTGGTTATTCCCGGTCGCCATGTAATAGTTACAATTGTGTAATTTCTTTTCTACTTAACAGCACTTGAAATGCTTTATTTTGCACATGTATGTACACCTTACTTGAGCCAACCTCTTTGTCACTGAAGTGCACTCGTTGATACTATACCTCACCTTATATGCGGTAATGGCTAACACTTTTATCTCCTGTGGGCTCCAAGTGGTAAAGGGGATTGTGTACCAGTTTTATGCATTACAATGCTGGAGTGGAATTATTGTTTAATTGCCATCTAGAGTGGGGGTAGTGTTGCAGGAATTGCCGTCTTGTGTGTGACTGGGTGCAGTAAGGAGTGTATGTGATGTGTGTGTGAGCATGCGCGTGAAGGAAACGCGGGAAGCGAAAGAGAGAAAAATGGAGAGAGTGTGTCATGGGTAGAGAGGGCGACCGGGAGCAGCGTTCTAACGGGCTACAGGCTATACAGTGTGTTTTTCGAAGTGTGCAGTACTGTTATTAAAGCCTCATCTCTTCAGTACTCTCCGGTGCCTCGGCTGATTTCTGTCTGCCTCACTACTCCACAAAAGTGAAGGGAGTTAACCCCGAAGGAGGACAAACTTCGGCCCTGGAGGAAGCATCTCCCCTCGTGTCTCCCGACCACGGTCAGGGGACTAACGGCGAGGAATGGTTAACATTCCAAACAGTCTTCAAACTCCTGAAGGTTCTGTGGCCCCATCTACAAACACGGAGCTTTATTTATTTATTGATAGATTTTCAGTTGGATTCATATTTGATATGTTTTTTAACATCTGTAAGGCCCATTTTATATGTAACGTAACAGGGTTGGAATTATAAGGAACAAATCAGAGTTAGCATTAATGTTTTCTGTGACAAAAAGTGTTGGCTACAATAGATTGTGAAAGTCAAGAATAAACATATTTATAAGACTAAAGGAAGGAAACTTTGAAATTATTTTGTCTTCTTTTAATAATACGAGTTCCACTCAGTGTTTATCACAGTGTTATGCATTTGCAAGGTTTAATACTACTAATAAGACAATAATTGTAACCCTGGAGAGTTACTAAGGGTTTTAGTGTTATGAGTGATGTTAGTATTTTGAGTTCACTGTTAAGTTTTATTAAGTTAAATTATTTTGTTGAGAATTAATAAAATAGAAGATGTCTATAATGTCCGGATGGTCCTTGAAGTATACAGGGGGAAGTACCGCCTCCTGCTGTTCACTGCATAGCAGCTACGGATATCAGGAGAGAGGGAGAGGAAGAAAAGTCTGTTTTTTCCAAGTGGAAAGCGTGGTTGTTTTTATCCAGTCGGACTGTACGGTGGAAATAAGCTATCAAGAAATTGTTGTTAACCAGAAAGGAGTTTGTAACTGCTCGGCTTCTTCTGGGTGAGTTAATTTGTTGTGAACAAGAATATTGTGAGTTTAAGCCACTAACGATGACATGCTAGCGGCTATTGCTATTAGCCATGTGGCTGTACATGTGTGATTGTGAGGATTAAACTGTATGTTAGAGTTTGTTAGCTTCCTATGACGATGCATGTAAAGATTGTAAGTCATATGTATGCTGTAGATGTTGATATGTTCCTATATCAATCCTTAATTGCGTTCCTTGTGAGGTGAATACAGTTTAAAGAAAATGGGGTTATGTTTCTTTGTAGCTGTGCTACAACGCTTCACCATCGCCATTTTGAAGCTCCAGGAGAGCCCATTTTATTGGTTACTTTGGTAAGAAGTTATCATTGTCTATGTTTTGGAATATTCTGTCGTTCTTTCTGTATACTGGAAAGGTAAAATGCAAATTTGTTAGTATGTATGAACGAAACATAAGAAAGGATATATGTATAAATGACTAAATATTGATTTTTGAATTTTATTCTGACTGTGTTATACAGGTCAGGTTTTTTTACTTGGGAGTACAGTTCAGTGATGATCCAGTCCAAAGATGGCGAGCCACCCTTCCAGGATCCTTGAGATGATTGCTTTAAGAAGAGAACTAAATTCTTTGGACGAACTGTGAACTGTACAAACTCTACTTAAGTGGTAGGACAGATTTGCACGTCATTCCTCCTTTGCACATCCTGCAAAGAGAATCCTCATTGCTTGACTCACACTTAAGGGTGTCGGCTGACACGAGAGAGAGACTGAGTCAAATCCCCCGGGGTTGTGTGTGTTTTGTTTATTATTTTCCATGACTTGGGCCCAATTTTTCATTTCATGTACTGTTATTGTTTTCATTGTATGTATGTAAGATTCTTTAATTGTGAATACAAATTGATCAAACCAAGTTCTCAGAGCGTTTCATTAGTCATCCATTCTGCTCCAGTAGTCGAACCTCAGCTATTGGCCCAACACACAGGTAACCATTTAAATCTGTATCCCAAGTGTTGAAAGGGGTGTTACACAATCTACCTGTGTGAATGTAAAGTTTAGGTAGCTCTTGTAAATTATGGTGACACATGGCATTGATGAAAAAAAGTAAAATCAATTAGATCTAATTTGCGTTGCAGGGGATGTCACATTCGACATTAGGTGTACACCTGGATAGGTCAACAGTCTACCACAGGGTAATCAAACTCCCACTCCCACACGGGCAATTTAGAGTTTCCAGTTAACCTGGAGAGTGTTGTTCATTATGTTTGCTGTTGTGAAGGAGTTTATCCTCACCATGGATTCTGCGATCATCCACCACTGTTGTTCTTTTTGTGTTGCTGAGCTCAGTGGGTTTTTTTTTCCTCAGGATGCACCAAACTTTAGATTTTGCCACTCCTAGTATTGTAGCCATTTCTTTGATGTGTTTTTTTTTCTGTTTTCGCAGCTTAAGAATGGCTTGTTTCACCTGCATGGAGAGCTCCTTTGACCGCATGGTGCTTGTTCACAGCATAGTCTTCCACATGCACTCACCACACCTCAAATCAGCTCCAGGCCTTTTCTCTGCTTAATTGATAATGTCATAATGAAGAAATTGCCCACACCTGCCCATGAAATAACCTTTGAGTCAGTTGTCCGATTATTTTTAGTGCCTTTAAAAAGATGGTGGCACAGGTTAAAGAGCTGAGATTCCTAAACATTTCATCTAATTTTAATGTGGATCCCCTCAAATGAAAATTGTAGAGTCTGTACATTATGTCCATGCCCATTAAATAACTATAATTTAAATATGTTTTAGTAAACAGGTAAAACAAAACAAAACAATTTGTTTAGTGTCCAAATATATATTAACCTATCTGTATGGATTGCAAATACCCATAAATCTATACTAACTGGTGCATGTTCAGCATTGTGCATATCAGTAATTTTTAACAATCGAAACAAACGTGACCATGAAAAAAATGTAATTGAAGTAATTCAGAGTCTAACAATTGACTCAAATGTAATTGAAAAGTGACTTTAGAACTCTATATATGTTCGTGTTTATGCACTAATATTATTCAGATTAGGTCATCTCAAGTGGTTATCAGTGGACAAGTCTGAAACCTGACCTGAGAGTTTCCAGTTTGCAGTGTGGACTGCTGAGGTAAGCAGATAAAAGCTTCAGTCCTGAATCTTTCAGGTTGTTGTTACTCAGGTCCAGGCCTCTCAGACTAGAGGATGAGGAACTGAGAAGTGAGGCCAGAGCTTTACAGCTTCTCTCTGAGAGGTTACAGCCACTCAGTCTGAAAAACAATGATATTTGTGATTAAACTAAATCACTTCATGTGTCTGGAATTTGTTAAATATAAAACACTTCAAATTTGTCCAATGAAAACACAATTATGTATATATTTAAATCAAAACTAGCGAGGAGCTGGTGGATTTAGTCATACTAGTCCAATACCCACTGGCGGACACACTATTTATGACTTTCCTAATCCTGATTTCTGTGAAAATAATTCTTATTTATCACATGCGGAAACTTGGTGCAATCCCCTTAGTTCATCTTCTATCTTAAAAAAGCAGTTGTAACGCTTTCCCTTTTCAGTCTACGTTTTTCTGATTGGGCAGTTTCAGGACGGAATGCTGAAGAGCAGTATTCAGTCATGTAAACCTACTACAAACTTTTTAGCTTGTTATAGTAAATGAAGTCTTATCAGATTATTTTGTAACTTTTAGAATCTGTTTCTGAGATATGATAGTGGACAGCAGGAACATTTACAGCAATTAAGGTCATGATAGAATGTCTTGATACATTAAATATTACACCTTCAAACACTAGTTATGAAAAAAGTGTCCCTATTAAATTGCATATGTGAGGGGAATAAGCTAAAATACTGACTGAAGTGGAAAACCTTTACTGTTAGGAAACACCAATGGTATCACAATGTGTAAAATGTAGTTCTGTAAAGACTCTGGCTGTGGTAGCCATCCAGTAAAATATGCTTTTCATTGTTCTGCTGCAATATCTGATTGGGAGGGCTGATGATTGTTTAATTCAATAAATTATATATAATAATATATAATAGATTATTTTGAGTTTTTTAAAGGGCCAGCACCAATTGGCTGGGTTTTTTTTTTACCCTATTTGAGTAAGTCCATGTTTCTGCTGCTTGTTTTATTCTGACAAGTAAAATGACCATTTTAAACAGAAACAGATGAGTCCATATTTACTTACAGAGCTTTGTTGGAGGCTTTGACCACAGGTAGCAGTCTCAGAAGAGTCTCCTCTGAAGCAGAGTATTTCTTCAGGTCAAACACGTCCAGATCCTTTTCTGATGACAGTAAGATGAAAACCAGAGCTGACCACTGAGCAGGAGACAGTTTATCTGTGGAAAGACTTCCTGAACTCAGAGACTGTTGGATCTCCTCCACTAGAGAACGATCATCCAGTTCATTGAGACAGTGGAACAGATTGATGCTTTTCTCTGCGGACAGATTCTCACTGAGCTTCTTCTTGATGTACTGAACTGTGTCCTGATTGGTCTGTGAGCTACTTCCTGTCTGCGTCAGCAAGCCATGTAGGAGAGTCTGACTGGCCTGAAGTGAAAGACCCAGGAAGAAACGAAGAAACAAGTCCAAGTGTCCATTTGGACTCTGTAAGGCTTTGTCCACAGCAGTCTCGTAGAAATGTTTATCTGTTTCAGATTGATGGGATGTTTTTTGTTGCTCTTCCAGCAGATTGACTCCAGAGTTGATGAAGGTCAGATGGACGTGAAGAGCAGCCAGAAACTCTTGAACACTTAGATGAACAAAGCAGAACACCTTGTCCTGGTACAGTCCTCTCTCCTCTTTAAAGATCTGTGTGAACACTCCTGAGTACACTGAGGCTGCTGTGATATCGATGCCACACTCTTTCAGGTCTGATTCATAGAAGATCAGGTTTCCTTTCTGCAGCTGATCAAATGCCAGTTTTCTCAGAGACTCAATCATCTTCCTGCTCTCTGGACTCCAGGCTGGATCTGTCTCAGCTCCTCCATCATACTTGACCTTCCTCACTTTGGCCTGAACCACCAGGAAGTGGATGTACATCTCGGTCAGAGTACTGGGCAGCTCTCCTACCTCTTTGGTTTTCAGCACATCCTCCAGAACTGTAGCAGTGATCCAGCAGAAGACTGGGATGTGACACATGATGTGGAGGCTTCGTGAGGTTCTAATGTGGGAGATTATTTTGCTTATCTTATCTTGCTTATGCTGGAATCTCTTTCTGAAATACTCCTCCTTCTGTCGGTCAGTGAACCCCCTGATCTCTGTCACCATGTCAACACAGTCAGGAGGGATCTGATTAGCTGCTGCAGGTCGTGTGGTTATCCAGAGGGAAGCAGAGGGAAGCAGGTTACCCCTGATGAGATTTATCAGCAGCACATCCACAGAGGTGGACTTTCTAGGGTCAGTTAGGATTGTAGTTTTGTGGAAGTCCAGAGGAATTCGACACTCATCCAGACCATCAAAGATGAACACAACCTGGAAGTCTTCAAAGCTGGAGATTCCTGCTTGTTTGGTTTCAGTAAAGAAGTGATGAACAAGATCCACCAAACTGAACTTTTCCTTATTTAGCACATTAAGCTCTCTGAAAGTGAATGGAAATATGAACTGGGTGTCCTGGTTGGCTTTGTCTTCAGCCCAGTCCAAACTGAACTTCTGCATTAGCATTGTTTTCCCAATGCCAGCCACTCCCTTTGTCAGCACTGTTCTGATTGGTTTACCTCTTCCAGGTGAGACTTTAAAGATCTCTTCTCGTCTAATTGTTTTATCTTCCCCTTCTGATCTCCTGGATGCTTTTTCAATCTGTCTGACCTCATGTTCATCATTGACCTCTGCAGTCCCTCCCTCTGTGATGTAGAGCTCTGTGTAGATCTGATTCAGAAGGGTTGGATTTCCTTCTTTAGCAATCCCCTCAAACACACACTGGAACTTCCTCCTCAGAGTAGATTTAACTTTTTGTTGACAAATGATTGGGAATTCTCAAAGAACACAAAAAATATACTCTTAAAATATAAACTTCATCATGTCATGCTTTCAGAAATAGACAAGTAAATATAAATTTCGAAAAATCATATTCTTTCAAAATTTTAAATATTTAGAAAAATCCTCTTACTGCTCTGTAGATACGCAGCCAACTCCTCCTGGTTATTTTTCCTCAGTAGATTCAGCATGATCTTTAGAAAAGCCTCTGTGTTTTCCTTCATCTGTGCTTCATCCTCACCCTCCAACTCCTTATCCTCCTTCTCACTATCTAAGAATTCTTGTTTACATGGATATAGAAGCTTCTGGATCTTATTTACCTCACTCTTCACAAAAGTGATCATAGTGTTCTCCAGCAGCTGGAAGAGATTATGTGAATGATCCAATCAGACTAAACTAACAAAGCCAATCATCAGAAATCTGGACACAATGACAATACTTTCTTCTAAAAAGTGCAGCTTGGAGATGACTCAAAAGATTTAGAAGTAGTTGTACATTTACGGACCATTAATGTGGAGTCCTGATGTGTTTGATCTTGTTGAGCAGACTGAACACTGGGAAACTCTGAGCTCTTCTGGTCCACTCTGGGGAGGAACCATTTAAAATCATTTCGAGCACAGGGGTAAAGTTCCAAGAAGTTATATTTGACTGTGATTCAGGTGACTCCTTGTCATGTTGTTTAAGTTTAGCAGCCCTACTGATCCCACAATCAACAGCTCAGTGATTTGCTTTAGGTGCTCGCTGTGTTTTGTTGTGCTTCAGTAGTCAGAGAATGATTTACTGAACTTTTAATCCTTGCTGATGTCTGACAGTCCTTTCCTTCAACTGAAAATATGTTTTACTGTCCACCATTCATGGACATATGGATTAATTTCCAGCTGAATTATCATTATCTGGCTTTCTTTTGACAGAAAACATTCTGAAAGCCCTCAAGAAGTCACTTGGACATTTGCCCTAATTTCAATATATCAGATTAAAAATTTTCAAAATATTACGAAAACCCAGACACACAATAAATATCATCAACCATCCAAACTTTGAATAATCTATGACTGTCAACCAGAAGAAACTGAAACTACATGAAGAAAATGTGTTTTTCTTTCTTTATAGGGCTGTTCGATATAATGATATATATCGGATGACGATATAAAAACGTCTATCGTTTCATTTTACGCTATCCTTTGTTTAAAATAAACTGTTTACAGCAATATTTTTTCATCGTTTTGATGGTCACTGTAGTGGCTATATTAAGTTCTCTCTTTCTCTTATATTTAATATAACCACACTAAGGACGGACAAGCGCCTGTTTTTATGCGTTGTCGTTAGCAACAACGACGGTAAAACTATTGCGTGTCCGCTTGTTTATTTTCCACATAAACCTTTCACAATATAGCTCAAGATCCTGTTGAGACTTTTCAAAATAACCTGAATCACGCGAAAGAGTATGCAGAGTATTTATGAATGAAAAGCAAAAAAGAGCCGTCAGGTGCTAAAAAAAATAAACCTTAGACTCAAATGTTAAAACAGGCTTTTCCCAGCAGCACGCCGTGTAATAAATACTCACAAAGAAAGCGGCGGCCGTTACAACTTATGTCTAAAAATGTATCGTTTCATGCAGTGGTGAAAACACTCCAGGTACACGACGCCCAGCTGGAAACAATTCACGCAAGTCGAGCTGCCTGAGATTCATAGAATTTACATAAAATGTTAAATTTTTGTGATTTATATCATTATCGGACGATAAATGTCTTATATCGGGATATGAGATTTTGGTCATATCGCACAGCCCTATTTCTTTACATTCAAAAAAACCCCATGAAGACTCAAATAACCCAGTAAGTACATGGCTTCAAATAAAAAAATTGTGAAACATTCAATTAATTTTTAAGTTAATTTAATTTTTAAATAGTTAGCTTTAATTAAGGCCAGACAAGGAGAAAACACAGAAAATCTGGAGAGACAGCAAGGAGAAGACATAGTAAAAAGCCTGAGGACGATTCATACCCAGACCTCTGCAATAGAACAAGAGTGGATGACAGAGGAAGATTATTTTTAATTTCCAGACATCCTGTGACCTTGAATTGGATCAGTGGAAGGAAAAGCTATTAATAAAAAAAAAATATGAGTGGGAAAAAGGGACATGGAATTGAAACAGCAACCTTTCTCTTGCCAACCAAATGAGTTAATTTCTATGATGACATATAAGCACTGGTACTCTGGATGTTTGATCCCTTTTCTAATAATTCACTGCTGCATTCTGGGTAAAATTTCAAGGATCCTGTCACCACATGAGATGGTGGTTGCTCAAGACAAGTTACATTATGAGAAAAGCACCCAGGTTCTTCTAAGCGAGATTCTCTCTGCGTCCTGTGTTCCAAAATAGTCTTTTTTTTTTAATCTTAACTCTAGAGCCTGTAGCTCTTTTTGAGAATATATCAATTCTGCCCTAATAATTTTAAGTTCTTTTTTGGGCTTTTTACTCTTTACTTACTTCTATCATCAGACTACTAACAATGATGACTCAACACAATCATAATTGTGCAGATCGTTTAAACTTCACTGTTTAGGGACAGGCAGCGGACTTCATGAAGTCTTTTTTTTCATCTATTTATTTTTTATCTTTTAAATTCAATCTAAACTAAAGTTATCTTTTTTTCATTTGTTTATTTTGCCTTTTGTCCATGTGAGAAAGTGTGAGAAATGAACACCATCCAGAGAGCAAAGGCATGAATTTAAATTTTATTGATAGTCCTCCCATAGCAGATTAAATATATATGTTCATGTAATATAAAATGCAGGACTTTTACTTAGTGACTTCCTCTGAAATGAATTGTAGAGACCATCATCCAGCAGTTCATTTAAAACAGTCACCAACCTGACAGTGCTCAAAAAATATATGTTAATAACAACTCACCTCTTTTTAGCAGAAGGTTGTTGTCCTTTAAAATGAATGAAGTAATTTTTAGACGTGTCACTCTTTAAGGACACACAGCTGGGTTCAGGTTCAGGTTCATCTTTACATTTAGTTCCTCGTTGTTTCCTGTGAATAATGATGGGGCAGTGATGTGAGTGCTGAGCTGTGACATGGATAAGAGTCATGGCCAGTTAGAGATGGTCATCTCACCTCTTAGCTTTGTTCAGGGCTTTTATTAAAATATTTTAATGGCTTTATATCTCAGTGTGCAATGTGCTCTCTCTCTGCCGCTATGAGTGGAGCTCAGTCTCTGTTTTTCTCACTTTCACTCATCTACACTACAGTAATCATTCATATAAGATATTTATGTATTTATATGTCTCTTTAAATATTTAATCACACTTTTGAGTAAAAATAATAATGAGATTGAGGGTATTGTTTTCTTTTACACATGTGCATCTAATAAATTGAAGTGGTAGTATCAAAAACATTAATTCAGGATTCGATAAGACTGAGGCCTTTACTTTGGTTAATAAAAAATGATCATTCTTGCACCTGGCAAAACTGAGAAGCAGCAGAAGCAGCCTCATGTGGAAACTGGGGTGAAATGCACCAAAAGTTGTGGTCATGTGACCTGGGTGTTTTGAACCACACTTTGGAGCAGTGTTTTGAAACATCTGTGCTTCGGAAGCTCAAGACAGTGTTGAAACCTCTGTATCAAGCTTCCCATCCCTACAAATAATAAAGAAGGAACAACTATGATGATTCTTTTCTGGCATGGGTAGGATGGCCTTTCCTCCCACTGTTTATTCACCATCCACACACTGTCTCTTAAATACTAACCAAAATGGTGTGTGTGGGGTTTTTGTTTTTGTTTCTTCTTCTTCTTCTTCTTTTGTGCTTTGCTTCCTTCTGTAGTGGCTTACTTTGCCCTAAGAGCTTGGTTATAAAAAATTCCTTCTTTCTACAGCTGCTTCATTTTGTCACAGTCCTGATTCTGACGCCAGCTCCCTAAATTAGTATTTCATCTAGTCTTCCTCTGTTTGTATTGTATCCTATGAGCCAGGTTGTGAAACAAGAATGAGTATTTTGTCAAAGCACAGTATATATTGATTACTCTACAGCATAACATCTTCCTTCTTTAAAATCAGTAAGAAAACCCTTGGGGTTGTCGCTCTTTAATGACACTCAGCTTGGATCAGGTTCAGGTCCATGTTGATTCCTGTGAAGCAGTTAAATCAACTCCCAAAGAGCTCATGTTACTAACAACTCACCACTCTGCAGTAGAAGCCTGCTGGACTTTAAAATCAAAGGGAAGATCTTTAGAGCTGTTATGAGATGAATCGCTAGAATCTGAATCTGAACTGGGGTCAGCTTCAGGTCCAGGTTGGTTCCTGTGAATAATGATGGAGCAGTGATATGAGTGCTGAGCTGTGACATGGAGAAGAGTCATGGACAGTTAGAGATGATAATCTCACCTCTGAGCTTTGGTCTGGCTCTCTCTGGCGCTTTTAGAGGGACGGACTCCCTCCTCTCTGTCCTCACATTGATCCATGCTACTGAATTCACATCCACATCAGCTCACACACACTTTCTACCTTCACCTGCAGAGGAAACACAAATTATTCATCTGTACATCAACTGAAACCCTCCTTTCCATCATGTGTGCTGTCCAAATACCAGCTGCTTCTTTTCTGCTTCATCTCAGTGTCAGCTGAATGCAGTCAGACAGCAGTGTGAGGCAGAGGAAGCTGCCATCAGCTGCTCTACTTCTACTATCACTCCACTAGATGGAGCCATGAAACACACACGATGCATTCACTGTGACTGGAAGCTGATTCATGATTCAAAGAGAAACATCTTGTAGTGTTCTTTTTCTAATTTCTGTTATTAAAGTAGACAGCCAGGCACAGTGTTACTAAGTATTATTTGGATTATCAATGAATCTTCTAACTATTTTAACACTTTAATTTATTAAAGTTAAAAAAAATTAAGTGTTAATGGAGTATCAGGCTGTTCATGATAAAATGAATAATTTTTCAAAACCTTACAGCAGATATTTGTTTAAAAACGAATCGTCAGTTGTGTAAATAGTAAGGGTTAATTTACTATCGATTAATCATCTGATCACTGCTCTATAATCCTCCATGCATTTCCAGTGTATGTCAGCATTGATAACACACAGACGTCACATAAACACTGACACCTATGATCATGTTAGTTAAACACTACACACTAGCAATAAGTTCATCTATAGTTAAACCAGAATGATCATGGATTAAATGTTTGATGAATAAAATACATAAGTTAATAACGTCTGTGAAGGTTCTCAGTCATCCAGGTCATCGTAGTCAAAGGAGCTTGCAAAGAAAAGCGTCTGGACTTCTTTACGTTGCTTGAAGACGTTTCACCTCTCATCCGAGAAGTGAAGAAGCTTCTCGGATGAGAGGTGAAACGTCTTCAAGCAACGTAAAGAAGTCCAGACGCTTTTCTTTGCAAGCTCCTTTGACATAAGTAAATAACCTGAACAAACTCACACATGATAACAAACCCTATTTTAGGACTGAATCAGTAGCACACTGTTGTGTTTGACTTTAATGGTGAGACTACAGTTTTCTTCTGGGAAACAAAAACACATAGATTCAGTGTCAGTATTAAACATTTTAATCTGATGGGACCGAGTTCTGACTGATGGAAGGTCCATCAATCCCACAGTACTCAGCTTTCCTGCATGCACAATTACAGGGATAACTTTTTCACTAAGCTGACTTTCAGACATTTCAAATTTTCTTTTGCTCCTCAAAAATAAACACAAAAAATATGAACAATTAATCTGTTCAATCACTCACACTCATTATTATTAAAGCTGAATATTCACAGTAAAACAATACAGTTGAAGAAAAAGAAAAACCTCCCTTTAATTAAGACAAAATAAATGAAGAGTTCCACTAAAAACCTGTTTGTGTACAAACTGACCGAAGTGTCAGTTCAGATGTAATTTAAGAGCTTCTTGTCGTTTAACCTGTGTGAGCATAGAACACTCCCTTCATCGCTTCACTTGTAAATATGCTGTCTGACTGGTCAGACTGAGATGTCAGTTCACATACAAACATGTGAAGACATGAAACCTTCTTCTAACTTTGCCAATGGCTCAAAGTCTGTGACAAAGGAGGGAAAACATAGTCTGTAGATGATAGACTGTTTTAATGAAGCCACTAAATGAAACATAAGTGTGTCTATGTCATCAAATTAGTATGTTTGCAGAGTCTACATGAGTCCACGAATGAGACTAAACAAACTACACACAAGAAGAAGCAGTAGTTTTTTTTCAGGGCTGTGACATTATTTACACACATACTGAGAATCCTCTAAGAGAGCCAAAAAAAAAAAAAACAACTAAAGGTTGAATTAACCTTTGACTTTGAGGAGGAAGTGCACTGTAAAAGTAGCAACTGGCAGTTGTTGGTCTCAGTAAAGTTTTCCAATTAATCTGATTCAATAGAGAATATAGATTTGATAACCTTTGATCTCTGATGTGGAACAACACCAGAGAAGTTTAGGATTGCAGCATAAGCCACAATAGTAATATAGCCTGGTGAGAGGTAATCTGCCTTTGCAGTACAGAAATTCCAGGGTTAACAACAAAATTACCTGAATGAGATCAAACCTGAAGTGTAGTACTGACCTCAGTAAGAAGACGTGTTCCAGAAGGACTCTCGACAAGTTGTGAGTAACAGGAGGACCAGGATGGACTGTTACTCTGTCTGCAGCGTCTCCCTGCAAAAAATGAGTCAACAGATAAACTACAGCTCCAGCGTTACAATATTCAACCAAATACATGGTGTAATGCTCGCACACACAGGCTATGCATTATTTCAGTCATAGATGTATACATAGCACACTCAGAAATATAAAATGTAGCCATGCTTATCAAAAGAAAATGATAATAATCATCTTTCTTAGGTTGGAGGTGACAATCAGGAGAGACATTTTCATTATGTACAGAAGTGGCTCAGTGAACCCACCACACAGTAAAACAGCTGACTGTCAGGACACAATATCCTCAACATGTTTGCATTTGTTTTTTCACTTTACAAGTAGGAGTCATGCTTTAAAGAGGATGTGAAACATTATATGTACATATAAAGAACAATTAACACTATGCTCTAAAAACAGTCAGATTCACCACTGTCTGTGTAGCTGGATTTAAGAAATACCTGTTCAATTTTAAGGTTTCACAACTTTGCCTCTTTAGCATGATCTTATACTAGTACAGAATGTGACATCACTGAGTTGCTTGATTGCTCTTAACAGACTTACATTAGTTTATGTTAGCTAACAAATGACAGAACTAATAACTCAGAGAAAAAATAAAGACCAGTTTAAGGCTTCATCTTTACACTGCACCACCTGTAGTTCACCAGACCGACAAGCTGGAGTCAGACACAGATTTTTATTGTTTGTTTTTGAAAGATTGGTGCTAACAGTGCTCATCTTAAAGATGGTCCACGAGGAGGGAATAAATGAGGATTTCAAACAAAAACATCAGTAGATGAGTAAGCTTAAAGCACTGAGATAAAATCTTTATCATCAACTGTATGAATGAGGAAATGAGACTCAGCTCCTTCAAGCTCAGCACGAGGGACAAACTACTACTTTGATGAAATAAAAGGTGTGACTCGACTGATATATATTCATCTTTAAATGGTTTGTGTAATTTAAAGAAAGATACAAGTTTATTATAAATTCTGTTGGATTTAATCTATTCTCCAAGTGACTCATCTGTCTGTGTGTAAATATTCAAACATTACTTTCTTTTGTAGGAGAGCCAAAAGTATGTGCCGTAGTATTTTTAAAAAGAGGCTACATGATGAATATGTTTCGAGGATAAATCTATGTTAAATAATAACTTACAAAGTCTGCAGTTACCTCCAGAAATGTTTCCAGAAATGTTTCCAGAAATGTTCCATATTTTACCTACTAGAAGTAACTTGTTGTGAAACATGTGAAATGTATCCCTCATGACTGATATCATACCAGCTGGATAGCGTAGTGGTTAGACTACACGCCTTTGGAACAGAGGATCGCAAGTTCGATTCCTGCCTGGGGCGTCTGTATCCAGTAAGGGTCCTAAGGCTAGACCCCCTATGCTAAGCAAGCCTACCGCAGACATGAGCGAGACAGATAAATATGAAGGCATGCCGGCTCGGACGTCGCCCGGATCAACAAGGTCCGTGTCAGGTGTTGAGGAACCAGGGCACCTGACGAAAACTGGAACAACTGGCTACTGGAACAAGAAGGCATCGGTGGGCAAGAGACGAAAACAGGGCGTTGTTGGAATGCTACTATCGGAGCACTAGGTGCGGTGACTCTCATATATATATATATTTTTTTTTAAAGAGTGATCTGACCAAGAGGAGATATTACAGCAGAAATGTTTATTGAAGCCTGTTTACCTTCATAAGTAAAGACATTGCACATTAAAAACATAGAGAAACATTGGAAATCAGATTATCTTGAAACAAGAGCTGAACATTTTCTACAGGCATTACAGAGCAGAACAGTAAAATTTCCAAAGACAGACTATTAAAGGAGGAAACAAAGCAAACTTACAGTTTCTTCATTACAAAGAATTTCCACTCCACACCTGACACTAAACACTGACACACAGGTGAGCTGAATAACTGACCTTTTAGTTTGAGTTTCAGTTTAAGCTGAAAGGAGGCAGGACTTTACCTGAAACAGGTGGGAGGGGCTCAGAATGAGTAGTAGACTAGTACAGGCGTGTCAAACTCATTTTACATCACGGGCCACATACAGCACACTGTTAAACAGGCCGGACCAGTGAAACTTTCTTACAGTGTCACAACTATTTTTATACATGATGAAGAAAAAAACTGATGTGACAAAGAAAGAAATCTGTCAGCATGACGCTTTGGACTTACACTATAAGAAATAAATCTGTAAAATTACCCAGATTGTCCTTTCTTTTTGTTTTACTGTAGTTGTAAAAAAACAGAAATTTCTATAGTAACAAAAAAGTGAAAAATAGAAACTTTTCTGTTATTTAATTGTTTATTGCTTAAATTACTTTGTGTAGCACGAATGTCCATAAGGGAGGTTTTTATCGGTAGGAAAATGGCTGAAAATAACATCTATCATTTTAGCCAGCACCTAAATTATTGCACTTTGTAGTCTCCAATATTGTCATGATCTGGGAGGCAGATCATCAGGGGGAGGAGGATTTGGACCCAAACGCAAGCACGGACGACAGTGTAGCTGTGAGAAAGTGTATTAATAATGAAAGGCAAAATACAAACCAAAGCAGAGCATCACAGGGAACTACGCTAAACAAAAACCTAAACTGGGAACACTGGAAACTACAAAATAATAATGAAAGGAACAAAAAACCCGCGATGAGAAACCTGAAACCTGGAACATGGAGAAACACACGGCAGAAATACAGGGGAAGACACGCAGACAAACCAGCAACTAACAGAGGCAAACACAATTTTTAAATACACAGAGGGATAACAAGGGAATGAAACACAGAGGAAGAGCACAGCTGGGAGTAATTGGGCAAGACAAGACAAGGAAGTAAAACAGAAAACACTAACATGAGACAAGACCTTCAAAGTAAAACAGGAAACAGAGACTGACAGAACTCAGAGACGCAACTTGACAGAGAACAGAGGGAACACAGGGACCAGAGTTACATGAGACATGACTGACTGGGGAAAGGGCCAATAAACTCAAGGGCAGAACTAAACCTAAAAGCTAGAAATCACAATAATCAAAAGAGCACAACCAAGGACTCAGAACAAAAACCATAATATAAAATGTTTCCAAAACACAAGAATTCAAAATGCTGGGTCACAAAGACCCAGAACCGTGACAAATATCATTGAAATGCAGCCAGATCTGGGCTGTTGGACTTCCCTGGTGCTGCAGGACCGGGGGTGGTCTGCTTGTCTCCACCCCAGAGTAAAGGGAAACATCTCCTGGGTCTAAGGGCAGATTGCCCATCTGGGGGTGATGGTGCCTGGACCAGGGGTTATAGAGTATGTCTGGGGAGTGTGAGTGTGTGTACAGTGTTCATTTCTGTTTGTCTCCATGTTGGGAGAGTGCTGAGTATTTATATATGTGTACATGATGGTGGGAATGCATGTTTGTGTCTGTGTTTGCCTGTTTGTCTATATTTATGTGTCAGGTCGGGTCTTAGATTCCAAATCACTTGGAACATCTCAGGGACCCCAGATGTGGGGACCTATCACCCCCAACCACATGCCCTGCCAGTGGCTGCTTGGTGGGGCCTGGCCCCTGTGGCTCAGTCGGGCCTCTTTCAGGGTGTGGAGAGCCCTCAGATCTCGGGTCTCTGAGCCAGGAGCTCAGTCCACTCTGGCATAGCTGGCTGCCAACGGAGCCTTCCAGCTCATCAATGTGGCCCCCTATGGCTTCTGCACTGTGACCCCCATCTGGGGCTCTACTCCGCTCTTTTCTGGGTGGGTTACACTGCCCCTCCAGTGGTCATCTGTGGGCTCTCATGCTCTAGGGGCCTCTGGATGTCTGAGGCTTGGATCTGCTCCATGCCTCCTGGAGGCCGGGGCTGTGGCACCCCACACAACTATTAGATAGTTACATGAAGACCTTGTGAATGCAAGCGTGCTCACCCACATAGGTGTTCACACCTGAGTAGCTGTTTGTACACACCTGTAAATAACAGTGTTGGGGAGTAACGGAATACATGTACCGCCATTACGTGTTTAAAATACAAAATATGAGTAACTGTATTCTGTTACAGTTACCGTTTAAAAGGGTGGTATTTAGAATACAGTTACTTTGTTGAAATAAAGGGATTACATGGCGGTCTTTTCCTGTTTCATATGTTAGATCAGTGGTTCCCAAACTTGTTCGCGCCCCCCCGCGTGCATGCACACGCGCGCACACATCCTCCAACCACACACACCCATATTTTGCTCCATTGCGGTTTATTTCACACCTCAAACATTTAGTAAACAATTAAGCAAATACAAGTAATCTGCAATAAATTACAGGTAGTAAGAAAATAAACTACTAACTCTTTTACGCTACGTCCGCACCTACACGGGTATTTTTGACAACGCAGCTGTTTCGTCCACACATAAACGGAGTTTCGAATCACCGAAAACAGAGATTTTTTAAAACTCCTTTTTTGCGTTTACGTGTGGACGAGGAATACAGAGTTTGTCACACAACGTCAAAGGTATATGCCTTTTTTCACGTCACACTGTGCGCCACGTTATTGTTTACATGAGATGAATTGCAGAATGGCAGATAGAGACGAAATACTGTTAATCTGACTATCTGCAAGTTTTACATGCTTATATGCACACACAGTTACTGTCCCTCCATTTAGAAAGGCAGAGGGTATATCTATATATATATATATATTTACATTTGTACATTTTCAGTTTAAATTTAATACCTGTCTGTATACCTCCTTTGTCCTTCACATATTTGTGCATCTCTTACACTCATTACTTTCTGAAAGACTGATTTGTAGCAGCCCACAGTACATATATTATAAACAGAAATAATTACTGAAAATAATCAGGGAAATAATAAAGAAAAGACTGAGATAGAAAGTACAAATAATGCAGAATATGAAAGGAAAATAACCTTCAATGAGATCTCGGAGAAAAAGAAACATGGGACAACCAAGACATAAACATGGAAACAAGATAAAAACAGAGGAAAGCGAAATAAAAAACAACTAATTCAAACTCAAATGAATTTATAAAGAACCCAAAGCTGCCTTAATGTCCAGGGGCTCACATTTATAATGATGTAAAGGTCAGACAGATCACTGGCTCTGGCTTTATGATGATGTTTTTACATTAATCATAGACCAATGACGTTAAAGACAGTCTCTGGGGAGCCATATACCATGTAACTGTAATTTAAATGTGCTCTGATATGAGCTCTGACATAACCTATATCTATTATTAGGTGTTAATTAATGTGTTTTGAGATATAATCATCTTTAAATGGTCAGAGTGATTGACAGACAGATCTAAGTTTAATATGATAACTTTTGGTGATTCTAACCTCATCAGTTTCTGAGTAACATGACTCCTCTGAGGGTAAAACAGTCAACATTACTTCCTGTTGGAGGTGAGCCAACAGATAGTGGTGCAGTGTTTTATAACCTGGACCTACGTGTTAAACTCATATGTAGACTTCAATAGATCTATGATAAATAGTAGTTCACAAAGTTCTCTGTGACCTCCTGTCCGTCAGTGTATAATTACCCCTCCAACAATATTATTATTATTATTATTATTATTATTATTATTGTAGGGTTTTTACCTTACAATATAAACCACCTTGAGGTGACTATAGTTGTGATTTAGTGCTACATAACTAAAATAGAATTACATCAGGTCAGTTTCTGTTGGTTTGTCTCTGACAAGAATGTGTTTGGACTGAAAACATGCAAATGTCAGTATTTGTATTTAAACAAACATTTGGTTCAGCCGGTTTCATTCGGATCATGTCTGCATGTCAGCAGGGGTAATAGGAGAGGTGGAGTGATTTAAATATCACCTGCTGTCCTCATAGACTTTATCACAATCCAGACTTCTTACTGTAGCTGGACAGGTGGGAGGGGCTTAGCAGGAACAGCAGTCTATTTCATTTGAGTACACCCTTCAAGGTTAAGTTTCTGAATAACAGACTTTCATGTGAAAAGTAAAGCTTCCACCTTTTCCCCATTCCTTCTCTTCTTTGAGTTTTTTTTTCTAAATTACACTTTCACAGAGATGCAGTAACATTTCTATCCTTTCTTTCCTTTTTCCTTTGCATCAAATTTGCCCTTTGATTTCCCTCAAACTAACATGGCCAGGAAGTAGACACAGCTTAACCAAAAAAAGCCTCATCTGAGCTCTGAATAATACAGACATGTGCACATGAACAAGATCAGGTTGTTTTGTTTTTTGCCGTCATGCTGTGTCTCTGCACAAATAGAAAACACAAAACAAACATCAGTGTTTGCACTGAAAGCACCATGGCTGGTTCAACTGGTTTTATTCAGACTATGTCTGATGTCATGTTGAGGGAAGCTGGTAGAAGGATTTAAACCACCTACTGTGCTCAATCTAATCAAAGACAAGTTGTTGGAATTTAAGCATTCAATAATGATTCTGGATGAAAATCAGAGATGGTAATATCATCAAGAAGTGTAAAATCGCACTGAATCTAAAAATGTGTGGCTAATGTCTCCAGTCTGGTTTATTTAGTCTTACAGTAACCTGGTTACAACAGGATGATAATGTTATTTTAAATGAATCAACACCCCCGAGTCATATTAACTGTCCTTGAAGCATATGCTGAGGAGGGGGGTTGGCAGCAATCCTTCACTTGAGCTTAACCATAGACCCAGACAGAGTTTTAATTTATTTGAAAGCCTGACCCAAAAACATCTGATCCTCCACTGTTATATTCTTCAATACCATGTGCCAACACAGTGAAGCTACCTAAACTTTAAAGCCATGGAGTTCAATTATCTCATTAATGTTGTTACAGTGATGTCAAAAAAGTGTCTGGCCCCATCCTTATTTCCCCTTACTGTACTTCCTGTATTTACTTTTGTTGCTCACGTCCCAGATACATCTGACCAATGAGTGCACTGAACATTCTCACATGGTTT